TGGCCTGGGGAGATGGGGGAGTGGGAGGGGGCAGCGCAGCTGGCCAGGGGAGATCGGGAGGAGGAGGACCTTATTTCAGGTCTGAATGTGGCTGGCTTCAGCTCCAGCCATTGGATTGTATTGGGCCATTCTCTGAAAGACTGAAGAGCAAATTACTAAGTATTTATTCCTCAGGTTGGTACTTAGGACTGTAATTGAGTCACTCCTTAACTTTCCCTTTGTTAAGCTAAATGTGTTGAGTTCCTTTAGGGCAGTGGTCCTCAACTCGTTTCAGTCCACGGACCACCAGGCCAATCAAAAAATGTTCATGGACCACCTCCTTTTTGAGACATGATAAAAAAGAGCAGACAAAAAGGCGTAAAAACAGCCTAACGGCGGCGCATGCTCACGCCATGTGACTTTGGACAATGTTCCTGTGGACCACCGAAAAAGTCACCGTGGACCACCAGTTGAGAACCACAGCTTTAGGGCTTGTCTCCACTATGTGTCTGCTTAGACATGGTAAATAGATCTCCGATCGCTCTCCGGTCATCTGAAGAAGTGGGCTGTGCCCACAAAAGCTCATGATACCATCTACAGGTTTTGTTAGTCTTTAAAGTGCTACCAGACTATTTGTTGTTTTTTTATGTTTACCCTGTACAGACTAACTCGGCTATCCCTCTGATGCTCTCCTGTTGACACTGGTACTCCACCAAGACAAGAAGAGTAGCCAGTGTCGATGGGAGACCACACAAGACGTTGTGGTAAGTACATCGACTTCAGTTACGCTATTTGCCGAGCTGAAGTCAAGAAGATCAATGGCAGGGATTAGTGCAGACTGTCCTAAGTGTGCCACTGTACGGGAGTTTTCTAATCCTTTAATCTTTCTCCTGGCTCTTCCCTGAACCCTCACTGATTTATCAAAATTCTTCCTGGATTGCGGGTAGCAGAACTGGACAGTGACTGACTCTTCACAGCTTTCTTCCGGGCTATTGCCAATTCAACCAGGTGCTTACGTACACAGCAAACTATAGGTGCTTAGAGTTAGGCATTGAGTGCCTTGTGAGTGGGTCTCAATGACAGACCGAGGCAAAGCCTCTTGGCATCGGTGAAAAGACTCCTGGGATTCCAGTGGACTTTGGGCTTTCTGCTAAGAAACAGGAGTCAAATTCAGAATTCCCAACACGTTTTCCCCTGTAAAACAGACTTTATTTTTCTTCCCATAAATCTTGTGCAATATACATCTATATCTCTATCGAATCCGCCTCATTAAAAGGTCCCCCCGACACATTATGAAAAATCCAAAGTCCCCCCCTTCTTAAATTAACATTTCCCCTCCCCCCCCACCCCTCCCTGGGTTTCTTTATTTTGTTAGGTTTTGTTTTTCTTTAAAAAAATAGAAATTACAATCTTACAAGACAGGACATTCAATGAGAACAGAAGTATTTTCCTAAGTCTAAAAAGTAAAACATTTCCATGAAACCTGCCTGTACCTACAGGTGGGGGAAGTGTGTACGGTGTTAGATAGAAAAAATGCTTTCCATTTCTTCGTTTCATTCATATAGATAAAAATAACAAAACTGACTGCAATGTTATAGATTTTCTCTTTTGCACCAACATTCACAATATATATATATATATATAAAACCCATTTCTTCTTCGTATACACAGTGTGAGGGGTCTAGGGGTGGAAATATACACTCATCTAAACAATTGTATGAAACAAAAATATATATATATTAGATTGCTTTTGTTTGGTTCCTGAATTTCAAATATTTTTTTGGTTTAAATTAAAAAAAGAAAGCAGATGAATGAAACACATCTGACTATCTAAAACCTGGCCAGCATGGATCCAGAAAGACATGGGTGAAATTTTCCAAAGCACCTGACTTAGGCTTCTAAGAGGCACTGTCATAAGTGACATAGGAACCTAAGTTTCTTTGAAAGTTAGTGGCTCTTAAATGCCCAAGTTTCTTTTGAAAACAGCACTTATGTTCCTAGTGCCCGTTCTCAAGGGCTGTAGACATCTGATTCCCACCGAAAGCTGTAGTGTTGTGATCAAGAGCCTCAAAGGTATTTAGGTGCCTAAGTCATGCAGGCACTTTTGAAACTTTTACCTATTATCTTTACATCACTTGGTATGTGTGTGTGTGTGTGAGAGAGAGAGTGAATGAGTGTGCAAACACACGCCTGCATGTAGCCATCAGGACTGATTCTCACTTACACTGAACTTTATTTAATCCACTCTGGCAATATAAAAGGGCCTTAAAGCAGCAGTAATAGCACTTTTAAGTCCACTTCATATTGCCAAAATGGTGTAAAAAGGCCTTAATCTCATTTACACTAAGGCCACCATGTATACTGGCATATAAACTGAGACATGTATGTATACCCCATTGGTGCAGCGTGTATTACAGGCCTTGCCTCTGATCTCTTATCCACATAAGTGGGTAAGAGCCTATCACTGCTACCAGCCAGTGGAGTCACTCCCTTAGCTCAAGCAATAGAGGTCCATCCTCTTAGCCCTGCATGTCCGTTTCATTCCCATACCGGGGAAGGGGAGTGTCTATTTCCTGTTAGAATGCCAAGATGTTAATTTGTGAGGCAGGAGGGTGCTGCACACCTGTGCCAGTCTAGTCGGATTGTTACGGTGCCCCAGTGAGCGAACCTGGGACCTGCCCCTGCAGAGCACCCGCAAATGATGTACAAGTCAATGGGAGATGAGGATGCTCGGCAGGTCAGCATAGCAGGCCCCAATGATCAAAACTACCCTTGACAATCCTGGGAATAGCCTTGGGCCTCAGTAGATGTACAAAAAGGACGAAGGTGAGTAGAGAAATGGAGGGAAAGGTATACAAGGGTCAGAAAGCTTTGTGGGGCTGGAGGACTGGTCCAAGCCAGGAGTTGGACCATGCAGCCAGAACGGCAGGACGTTGACTTTTGCAGTGCTAAATCAGAGGCTGACTTCTACATGGGGCTAGGTTATATGCAAGTATAAACGGTCCACATGTTGGTGGAAATTTGCAGCGGTGCTTAGAGGAGTTAGATGCCCAACTCCCATTCATTTCGACTCATTCCTAAAGACCCGCACTGACTTTGTAGATCTCAGCCAAGCAGGTTATTTTAAATAATCACATGTCCTGCTTTCATTCAGCGGTTGGAGGTGGAGGTGACCTAACTGGTTTATTTAAAAAACTCATTTCACCCCCAATTTAGAGCCTTTAAAAAAAAGCGCCACTTCCTTCAGCGCGGCTGGTTGGGTGACAATGTCTTAGGTTTCCAGTCTCTTCCTGAAATTTCCCTGTAGGCTGAATCCAAACTTTCTTCCGTTTGACATAGAATCATGGAATCCCAGGGCGGGCAGAGACCTCAGGAGGCATCGAGTCCAGCCCCCTGCCCAAAGCAGGACCAACCCAACTCAATCAGCCCAGCCAGGGCTGTGTCAAGCCTGGACTTAAAACCCTCTAAGGATGGAGATTCCATATGCTCTGTGTCGCAAGCAGGGAAATTGCCAGTCAATGGCAAGGGCTCAGTCTTTCCTGAATTAAGGTGCTCACTTGGCTTCTTCACTGATGAAATGAAAACGGCGACTTTTAACCTTGTGCACATTGCTCAGGGAACATCAAGGACACAGAAGGGGAGGGGGAGTTGTGCCTTTTTTCTCCACCATTTCGGAACACCTGTGGCTATTGCCTTTAAGAAAGGGATTTCTGTCCTCTCGCAGCAACTGACACAAGCCCCTCGACCCAAGCCCATTCCTCCCTCACGGCGCTTGCTCCCGAGGGCCTGCCTCCCACCGAGGCGATTAGCTGGTCCGCAACCAGTGTTGGAAATGATTTCCCAAAAGGCACAACCCCACGGATGAAAAAGGCAATGCTGACTTCTCTAGTCCACAAAGTGTCGGGATCGGAGGGGGTAGCAAAAAAAAAAAAAAGCAAGATCATGTCCCCAACCCTGCTAACACTGTCTTGAAGAACAACATATGGCACTAGATACTGCACCCGGCGACTGGGGAAGCCAGCAGCCTTCTTCCGAAGTACGAATGAATTTGGGAACATGCAATCAGGGGAGAAGAATGCCATGATAATGAGCGGAGGTGGAGAAATCCGATATGCCCCACTCCAGATATCTAACAGCGGTTAACCAAGCAAAGTCATATTCAGCCTTATTTAGTGTAGAGTGGCTTTAAGAGAAAGTGAAAGTCCCATGTTCTTACTCCATTTTTACTTGGCCTTTACAGCGGCAGAGTTCTCCTTGGCTTTGTGAGGCGGTTTGCTTGAATAAGTGCAAAGCGTGTTCCTCTCTAGCTGCTGGGCCGCCCCCCGAAGAACACGAGTGCCGGCAAGTGGAGTCGCTTCCTCCTCATAAGAGAGCTCTGGAAATGAAGGTTCCAACCTTGCTGGTGACATAGAGGAGGGGGAGGACAGAACAAGGAAGGGAAGGGAAGGAGTTGGGATTCTGACTGTTCATCAGGAGGAACCACTGTTCCCCTGGCAACAAGGCTTCTGCTTGTTCGATTTGGCATTGACATCAATGGGAGCAGGAACGCAAAAAACGTTCGACAGGAAGTAACCGTTTAATCTCTCCAGCCTGTGGCCTGTTACGCAGCATGGAAGGAGAGGGTATCCCCAGGCCCGCTGATGGGGCAAAGGGGGCATTTTAAAAGGTCTGGAAGGCTGGTTGGGGAAGGCTAGTCCTGCCCCCCTTCCGCCTGACGCCCTGCCTCTTCTGGGGGCATGGAGCCCACCCCCCATCTTGCTCAGGGGCCTGGCAGGTTTGTAGGCCTCCCTGGGTATCCTTACACCCAAGTGACTGCGCAAATCTAGTCCTTTTTCCTCAGAGGCATCTCAACTGCAACTCTGGGGAGGAGGAGATGCCAGAAGGGGAAAAGTGACGCCTGCTCCCATCACTGCAGAGA